AAAATTCAGAAATGAAATGATTTCATTTTTGTTTTCAAAATGATGTTTAAATCCAGAAATGACCCCTAGCTGACTGCAAGTTAATTTTCTTTGAAAATGTTAACCATTTTCCCTTAATTAAATCACACGAAATAGTATAAAATTAGAAGTCTACTGCTAGGTCACCACTTAAGGACACTTAAGACAGGAGATATATCCTTAATTATACATCTGTAAACAAGCCAGAAACCCCCAAACCTTCAAATTTTCAGGATAGTTATCTATGAGGAGGCTTGATCTCTATGCTTTCACGTGAATTTTATGAACTAAAATTCCATCCCAGAGACAAGTGATTTTTCAAATGTTTCTATAGTGCATATATAGCTTTGTGTCCTGCTTGTAATGCTGGTCAAGTCTACCAAAGTGCAAAGACTGCAGCTGGTGGGGCAGAGGGATGTACCAAATATTTTTTAAACATCCTAACTTAAACGGGGGTAGAACATCTAATACATTCAGCAATTATTTTCAGATTCCTTTCAACAAATGCAAAAAAGGAAAAAACATAAGTAAAAAAAGAGCACACTACCTCCATAACGTTTCAAAAAATCATTTTAACATATAGGAACATCCAGAATGAGAAAATTACACAGGTCCTCCTCCATCTAAAGCCAACTTCCATATGCCAGTAGTCTGCATGAACAAACTTTCAACCTGCATTTAAGAAGACTCCAAGGATTAACAGGCATTAATTATCTTACTCTAAATGCAAGTTAGTGATTTTGTTTTAGAAAACCCCGTCGACATCACTAATTGATGGATTCCCATTAATACACCTGTATTTGCATTTCAGCGGTAAAAAGACAAGCAGGGTTTTCGGCACAGAAGAGAGCCGCTTTGCCAAGTCTTTTCAAAATGTCAATATGCTTCAAGTAGTACCACAGCTGAGATATTCCTCTTGATTTCCAAACTGTCTAGGTGGCCTGGGTGGTTTTCTGCCGGCAGCAGCCTCCTACCTTTAGTTTGTGCGCCTATATCCATGAGGGGGGATTAATTAGCCGGGTTGGAGCTGAAGGAGGCTGTCGTGACGAGCCCAGTGGCGATTGGCCGCCCGCCTGCCTGGCCCTGCCTTTATAATTTCCACACGAGTGCATCTGGGCTCTTAGACAAATCAACAGCAGCTTCTTCTGACATATACACACGCACACTCACCCCGGACACACTCTCAGCACACTTTTCCTCCATTTGATTAACAGTGCTGCACACACAATGATTACGGGAAAGCGTAAATAAATACAGAAAGGGGTGCTTATTTTGACTACTGGAAGAGCTTTGCTGGGTCTCAGCGCAACTTTTTTTTTTTATTCCTGAGAAGGTGATCTCTCCATGCGGTTCTCTCACACAAGGATTCTTTAAAAGAGGAAGAGAGACAAGGAGAGGGGGGAGAACAGTCTTTCACTTTAAGAACGGCTGGGCTCAAAGATAAAAGGAAGGGAAAAGCAGCAGCAGCAGCAGCAGGGAAACCAACGCTGCAGCACTTCCGAGAGGCATTTTTGATCCATTTCTGAGCGCTGCGGCCCGTTTCTCCACCGAAGTTGGCTCCAGCTCTAGCAGCCGCATTGGATCCCACAGCTTACTGCGAGACTCCGGTGTACAATCCGGATCTCTGCCCCAACATGATTGCGGCCCAGGCCAAGCTTGTCTACCATCTGAATAAATACTACAACGAAAAATGCCAAGCCAGGAAAGCTGCCATTGCCAAAACTATCCGGGAAGTCTGCAAAGTAGTTTCCGACGTACTGAAGGAAGTGGAAGTGCAGGAGCCGCGGTTCATCAGCTCTCTCAACGAGATGGACAATCGCTACGAGGGCCTCGAGGTCATCTCCCCCACCGAATTTGAAGTGGTGCTTTATCTCAACCAAATGGGGGTGTTCAACTTCGTGGACGATGGCTCACTGCCCGGCTGCGCGGTGCTGAAGTTGAGCGACGGGCGCAAGAGAAGCATGTCCCTCTGGGTGGAATTCATTACCGCCTCCGGCTACCTCTCGGCGCGCAAAATCCGGTCCAGGTTTCAGACGCTGGTGGCTCAAGCGGTAGACAAATGTAGCTACAGGGATGTGGTAAAGATGGTGGCAGACACCAGCGAAGTGAAACTGAGAATCCGAGATAGGTACGTGGTGCAGATCACGCCGGCTTTTAAATGCACCGGGATCTGGCCGAGGAGTGCTGCCCACTGGCCACTTCCCCACATCCCCTGGCCGGGACCCAACCGGGTGGCGGAGGTCAAGGCGGAAGGTTTCAATCTCTTGTCCAAGGAGTGCCACTCCCTGGCCGGCAAGCAGAGCTCGGCGGAGAGCGACGCCTGGGTGCTGCAGTTCGCGGAGGCAGAGAACAGACTGCAGATGGGGGGCTGCAGAAAGAAGTGCCTCTCCATCCTCAAAACCTTAAGGGATCGTCACCTTGAACTGCCTGGCCAGCCCTTGAACAATTACCACATGAAGACTCTGGTTTCCTACGAGTGTGAAAAGCATCCCCGGGAGTCGGACTGGGACGAGTCTTGCCTGGGTGATCGGCTGAACGGGATTTTGCTGCAACTTATCTCCTGCCTGCAGTGCCGGCGGTGTCCCCACTACTTTCTACCGAACTTAGATCTGTTTCAAGGCAAACCTCACTCAGCTCTGGAAAACGCTGCCAAACAAACGTGGCGACTGGCAAGAGAGATCCTGACCAACCCGAAAAGTTTGGAAAAACTTTAGAGGATGAGTTAATCAAGAGCTGAAATTATTACCCTTCTCAAAGTCCTTATTAAGTGTAAACTTCTGTTCAATTCCTAATATTCCACTCCGCAGTGTAAACAATCTCTTCCTTTAAAAAGGAGTAATAATACAATATTTAGACATCATCTCACCCACCCCCACAAGGGGAGAAAAAGTAGGGGAAGCGGATGGAGAAAAACCCAAAGCCACTAGTATTAGAAGACTTCTTGCCACACGATTTCCCATCTCCCTTGAAAAGTACACCGTAACACTCCGTAAACAGCCCGGTTGTAATGCAAGACCGCGACGAACACTCTGCCTAATTATCAAAGGATTATAGCAATCCTGGTGATTTAGGTGCATCTGCCTGTGAGTAAACACGATTTGGATATGCCATCTGAAAGAAACTGTAATGTATATTTTGATTTGTAACAAATATTGTGATCTCACATTGTCTTTGAAAGTGTGGATGTTGGTGTTTGTGATTTGGTAAACAGAACTTAAATTGCCATTCTCGATACTTCCAGACATTTTCCACTAACAAAGTTATCATTTAAAGGTAGATTTCCTCCTGGTACTTTCCTCTGTCTTTGAAAGTGTCTGAACTTTAAAAAGTTTACATTTTGTTTCAAATATTGCTTGTTCTATTTCTAACATTCCATAAATATACTTGAAATGTTATTTAAATATATTCAAAGAAATTTGAATTCAGCTTATATAATAACGCTTGAATATCTGAATTATATATTTGAAAAATGCACTTGAAATACACTGGATAATTACTTTTGTGATTTAGATTTTAATTTGTTGCTGGTTTTTATTTAATTAGATGCTAATAAATGAAGTAAAATAAAAGTTGTCGTGTCTCACTTTAAATTGTTTCCTATCAGAAGATGTAATGCTGCATTTTGAAAATCAAACCCACTTGAATATCTTAAACGTTTTGAGAAATATGCTAATGAAATCCTTAAAAATAAAACATTGGAGAAAAGCTCTTTCTGTTTAGGTATATAAGATAACGATCTACTCTCAGTCTCTAACTTACTTGTAAGACAATTCCTTTCTACAACAGACTCAATTTAAATCTACCTTTGAAAGCTTGCTCTTCTTGTAGCATTTTTGATAATATAGGAAAAAAAGTCTATCATGACAGTAGAGATGACTGACTTATTTTAAAAACTGCATTTGGAGCTGGAAGTAAAAGAAGTCCCATGACTATCCTTTGGAATACTTTAGTAGTCAACAAGTGCTGAAAATGCTGATCACCTATGGGCCTTAAGTTAGTTAATTCAGGTGATGGTAAATTTTTGGATTTTAGCTCTAGTTTACCAATACTATTTTATTACATTTTATATCAATATCTAAATTAAAAACAATAAAGTTCTGGATCTGTGGGAGCATTTGTCTTTGACTATTTTAGAATAACTGCCTCTAAAAATAAAGGAAGATTTTTTGCAAAATGATGCTAGAATTTCTAGCGTGACACTTCATGCTCTTGAATTCTTAACCCCAGAATAGAAGTTTGCAAATTGCACAGTAACATGAAAGTCAAAATATTAAAATAGATCTCAGAAAGTGCTAAGAAAGAGCTACTCTAATACTCTGGTGTTTAAAATCTACACAATAACATTTAATAAGTATGCATTTAAATGGTTCGAATATGTATTTTCTGGCATTATAATCAAAGAAGAATACAATATTTAAACATCTGAGTTCTAGCATATATATTTTAAATCAAAGCTCAGAGAATCAGTTGCTTTCCTCTTAAATCCACATATAAAACCCATTCTTATTTCAGGAGATGGACAAAATGGGTGTACTAATGGAGATGAATTTATATCTAAATGGCTCTCCCCCCAGTTTCCTTATAACTTTTCAATAATCACAATTCAATCTAAAGTTTTGAAAATGAAAAGTGATCTTAATAAGAAATTTCTTAAGACCTTTCGTAGTCAGCCCTCAGAGCCTGAGATTCTGGGCCCCAGGGACTTGGGAGCAATTGGCTTAACTACCAAATCTGCCCAAGCGCAAACAAAGGCACTCACAGAAAGACTGTTAAAATGTGCATGCTCTGGTAATACAGGATTTAACTTCATTAATATATTCTTCAGTTCCATAAAGTGAACATGCTATTTCATTCATTTTATTTTCTCTGAGAAAGACGAGAATGTGCTCCCTTCCTCCACTGTCAGGTAAAATCAAACAAAATTGAAAACCACTTCCTGCCACAAAGCCACCAGTACCGTACATGGAATCGCTTTAACTCACTTTAGTGTCGATCTTCTTGAAGGCGGAATCATCCTCATCTACCTCGAAGTAGATTTCTGTCGTGGTGATGGAGAGAGTCCCCTTGGCCACCACCACGGGAGCGATGAGCTGGGCAGGGGTGCTGAGAACCACTGGGCCTGCAAGGCAAGGATAAGGGGAGTCAGGCTGATCCCCTGTGGCCCTTCCTGCTCCCTCCCAGAAGGGTACCAGAGGTTTTTATTGGTAAGGATGCACTAGAAAAAATGGTTCCCGTATTATGCGGCAAACTCTTTTTTCATGTAAGATAAGGACTACTTAGCTTTTATTCTTTATCTTATAACAAGACTAGAGAGAAAAAATGGTATGAAAACCCAGAAGGTCAGGATACCGAATACCGCTCAATTTCCACCTAGAAATCCTACATGGTTGGTGAGGGGCTGCCATTAACCTACTTAAAAGTGCAGGACGGACAAACGTCCCAATTCTCCACTGAGTATCACTGGCTTTTCCAGAGACCCTAGGCAGTCAGCACTGCCCCCAAGACCAGCCATCGCGCGAAGCCGCTCCACTCAGCAGCGGCGCTCCCCAAGGAGAGGCGAGAGGACGAGAAGGGGGCAAGGATCTAAATGATAAATTCCGCTGTTGTGAGCGGTTTGCCTCTTGCAGGAAGATTAATCTAATATCTGTCTCCTAAGGCGCGCTACACACACACATACGCGTGCATACGGACATTACATAAAGTTCTTATGTAGAAAAGAACGAAAATCGTAGTCACTTTCTCACAGAGAATATATCAAAAGGGATGAAAATGTAAGACGCTTGAACAAAACGATTCTCAAAAAAACCGTGCGAAAGTGCTACTTCTCAACTTTTGAAACTGCAGAAACAGCTTCACTAAAAGTGCCTGCCAGGGTGCCTGCTTCGAATTCCCTCAATCTGTTAAGGTTGAAAATCACGAATTACGCGTATAGAATATGAATTCAAATGGGATATTACCTAAATGTTTCCTGTAAAGTCTCCCCAAAGGGAGACATTCTTCGCAATCCTGGATTTGAAACACGATACAACGTTATACATAACGTGGGGATCGGATACAACCATTCATTTGTCGGTAGCAAGGGCGCATCATAATCCCTTCCACTTCTCCCCTCAAATGCATACAGTCAAGTGCGTCACAATAACAGTCGGGGAAAGGCAATAAAAAGTCAGGTTCTCTGCGGCCGCTAGGCCTCGGCCCTCCGGGCGGAGATCCCTCGCGCCGATGCCGCCCTCAGCCCCCGCCGGGCCGGCCTCGGGAGACGCGGCCAAGTTGGCCTTCCCTGGCGCAGCACACACCCAATCTGCGACCGTCTTGCACAAAGCCGAGCCTTCCCGAGGCTGCGGGAACACAGCGGGCTGGGCTGGCTTCTGTCGCGATTACAAGGGGGTGGCTAAGGAGCAAACTGTGACAGTGTCAGCTTTCAGCCTGTCGGGACTGCCTGGGCCAGACCCACGCACAGCCCTGTCTTTCATTTCACTGCTCTCGATCCTCGGATAAGCCCCCGGGGCTCGCGGACTCTGGGCTTCGGCCTCTGCCCAGCGGAGTCGGGGTCCACCTCGGTTGCACAAGGTTTTTCTTTGGAAAGGGAGAGGCAGTCGATCTGAAGCACCACTTTAAAGGCTCATCAATCTTAATCTAGGTTCCTCAAGTAATTACGCCCGAATCTCTTGTACGATTACAAGTGGATTTGGGTTTCTATTCCCCAGGCCCTCCTTTGTGTTTATTGGAGGGTCTGTGCGCGCGCTTGGCGGCGCCTCCTGCGTTCCGCGCCCTCCTCCGAATCCCCCAACGCTCGGGCCGGTTCGAACCGCTCCCTTAACCCTTAAGCAACCAGGACGCTCCCTTGGATGCCAGTTTTCCTATTTTCTCTCTGAAGAAATCTATGCGATTTACTCTTGATTGGGGCAAGGTGAGAAAGGTGATTTGGTTCACACTGGAAACAAAGTTACACATTTTTAGGCATTGCTAAAAACCTCAAAAAAGTCTCCATTCTAAAGACAGAGGACTACCAAGATTTATAAGAGGTTTCTGGCATTTGGAGACAAATAATCGTCAAAAACACTAAAAATGGCGAATTACTTATTTCTCCTAAAAAGTAATTTAACGTATCCAAATTGAGAACATGAGAAAAAAGATCGTGAAACATCAAAACCGTACCCATTGATTTACTGAAATACATTACAATTTTTAAGGACACAATCCGTGAACTTTCCATGGGGAGCACATCTTCTCTACTTACTCCTCTGCGTTTCTGAAAGGAGATGGCTTCCTTTAGATTTTACTCCAATATCGTTCTGTTGAGGAGATTTTCCGGGCGTTTATAAAAGGGCCTCGAACTGGTCTTTCTTTAAGAAAGACACATCATGAAATATTCAGCATTAATAGTGTGTCATTTTTACCCTCGTCCTTTGGAAATCTCCAATTACAACTTCCAATTCCATAGCATGTTTAAGGAGCACTGAATCTTTTTGTTGTAGTCTTCAGGGAGCAAACCAGCCGCAGAGAGAATACGGAGTTAATCCACTACAGCAATAGACAGAGGGGATTATGTTTTAATCCCCTTTGGGGGAGCCTTTGGATTTTAGGGATCCGATATTAAAATGTTTACATAAGGCACAATCATAAGCCAGCAGATCTTCCATATGGTACCTGGTTATTTGAAAACCTCGGATCCCTTTCCAAATAAAAATAGTTTATAAAGAACAGCATCTCTGAATGACGGTGAGATGGTGATCTAGCTGATTCTGTTCTAGAAGATAACTTAAGTAACTACAAATTTAACTTCCTAAACTTTGCTTGGTGTAGTGAGTTGAGGAATGACTGTAAATATATTCATCCCAATCACTACTGTAGCAATAAAACAATAAATTATAATGTCCTCAGCACACATAGAAGTATTGATATTAAATGTTAAACAAATGGATAAGACAAAACCTCTTCTTATTGCACTGATGCATATAATAATTTAAAATTCCACCATCTAAAGTGGTAATTAAAAGGAAAATATAAACGTTATTTACTTTTTATAACTGGCAATATAATGCTTAAAAAATACTGTTCCAATACTATTTTTGAAAGAAGGATAGGGGTATTACTTCCCATTTATCTAACCTAAAATGTGAACTAGAACAAAAACCACCCTAGCATAATGAATCTTTAAAATAATAACTTCTCTTTAGAGCCATAAGATCTTTAACCAGTTGAGATGGTAAACCTCATCATGGACCTAGAGTAGAAAGTACACGTTTTATATTAAAAAAGGAACCATTTATCAAATACACTTTAAAAGTAGAATGTTAAATACTTGTGGGTTTAGATTATGCTGATGAAAATCAAAATTTCAAGCCCAGAAATCTTAATAATACACTGACATTTTGGTAAAACTTTACAATTTACAGAATTCTTTTTTGTTTTTTGAGATGGAGTCTTGCTCTGTCGCCCAGGCTGGAGTGCAATGGCTCAATCTGGCTCACTGCAACTTCTGTCTCCCGAGCTCAAGCTATTCTCCTGCCTCAGCCTCCTCAGGAGCTGGGAGTACAGGCGCATGCCACTGTGCCCAGCGAATTTTTGTATTTTTAGTAGAGACAGGGTTTCACCATGTTGTCCAGGCTGGTCTTGAACTCCTGACCTCAGGTGATCTACCCGGCTTGGCCTCCCAAAGTCCCGGGATTACAGGCGTGAGCTACTGTGCACGGCCACAAAACCCATTTGTATTTTTACAGAACTAATAGTCCAATATTCACAAATTTTAAGTTACTGGATGTGTCAATGCTTTCTTGCCAAAGACCACCAAGAACGTATCTGTAGTTGAACAAGTGGGTTTTATTATTCATTGCAGTGAGAGAAACCGACAACAATAAGAACCATGGGGTGACTTAGCGGGTGCTGGAAGACTCATTGTAGGATCTGGATTTTACTTGTGATTTTGGGAAGGGCTCAGGAAAGCAGGGCTTTGCTCTGGATTGGGCTCTGTCAGGCATCAGAAATAATTCTATGATTAAGTATTTCAATCAATTTTATCTAGAGGGAGGGAAGACTGAATGTATGCTAAAGCTCTAATTCAAAAGATGTAGCAGTCACTCATATTAGCCAAAAGAGGGGAATGTCTGGTACTTTTGGGGTATGCACAGTGATCTTGCTTTTGTCTGTGTTTAGTCAAAATTATAACGTTGTTTTTTGTCTCACATCATCATCAGACAGCCCTGTATGAAGCTGGTGCTCTGTGAGGTTGTTTATGTCCAACAAGGGAACATCATGGCCTAGCAGTGAGCTCCAGGCCATTTCTCAAAAAGAAGGAGGCCTAGATATAGGCAGGCCAGTTCCCAGAGGTCAGAGGCTGCTTTTTCTTTTTCTCAACTGCAGGGACTAATCATTTTCGGGGGGGCGGGGGACGGGAGGGTAAATTAATCATTCTCAGGAGGGGGTAAAATACATTCTAGTGATTAAAAGGCAACGATGGCTATTAAATTTCCTAATAATGATAAGCTTCTTTACAACTTTCAATGTAAAGCACAGCAAAGACTATGCATGGAAAAAGAGTTGCCATTTAATTAAAACTGGAATTGCTAGAATTATTTGATGACTTTTAATTGGTAAACTATATTTAGGGTACATAAAATTATAATGTATTTTAGAATCGCTTGAATATTTCCTAACCTTAGTTTAATATCGTTAAAAGTTGTATTAGCTATATGGATTTTCTTCATCCTCAATTACCTGGAAACTACATGCTCAATTTGCTTTTAGAACCTGTGAAACCTTGTTATTTTTGGATAATAAAAAATTGACTAATCTTAGTAGAATTATTAAACTTAAAATCCTGATGTTATTTAGAAGAACTAAAACTAATCTGAAATTCTTTATGTTCACTGTAAAATAATATTATTCCAAAGAAATTAGGACAAAAATATAAGGAGGGAGTAAATTTTTATAATTATTTTTATAATGTGGTATACTTTCTAGGGAAGTAATTCATAGCATGAGTGACTGAACAAGATATCTATCACTGCTTTGGACTCTTTTTTTTTTTGAGATGGAGTCTTGCTCTGTTGCCCAGGCTAGAGTGCAGTGGTGTGATCTTGGCTCACTGCAATCTCTGCCTCCTAGTTTAAGTGATTC